CCCCACATGCCCCTTTTTCTAGGTAGCCAATTGCGAAGATTATGAACCCAAATCCCGTCCATTTCAAGGGTGAAGGGCAGACTTGCATTTAGTGGGACTTCCTGCTCACTGTGCTTGCCTGCCTGGACTTTGGTCAGGAGGTATACCCTTTCTGCAAGAAGTAAATTTTTGCCTTGGCCCATCAGCTTCAAGCATGTGTCTGATCTGTGATAGTGGCAGCACCTTAGTATTTCATAACCATTGAGCATTTAGGAATCTCTTGGCCTCTCTTCGTAAGAACCATGCTTCATTGCTTAATTAGTCCCATAAAGGATTTCCTTTTGCCCCTTACCTCAGGAATCCAGGGGCAGGTGAACCAACAAACTCCCTTTTCAAGTTACTATTGTAAATGTGCAGGAATCCTGGCTCCTGAAGTACCTTCTTAAACTTCCAGGATTCCTCCCCCAGGTTACTTTTGCTAAACTGGGAGAAGTGTTAACCTCCAGAGCTAGGATATCTCAATTCTCACAGCTTATTCCAGGAGTGAAAGAAATGCCAAAGTTGTTTAAACAATCAAAAATGGATTTACTGTGTCAACCTCTTACAAATGGCAAATTAAAAGTCAATAAAGCTGGGAGATAATGAAGTAAATCTTGTGCATGATCCCCTGTAATAGCTGTATACAAAAGATGTCCAGAACCACAAGTTGCACAATTTACCAAAACTATTATGCAAAAGTGTTGTTAGAAAGGGTATGTGCCCAGCAACTGTCTTCTTAATACCTAGGACTGACCCACTAAATCTAGTTATTAATCACTATGGAATAAGGATTATTGTTGCAAAATCATGACCTCAAGTCATCGATCATTTTATGCTTAAAAACTTTCCTGGGTATGGGTGTGTAGCTGAATGAGATAAAGTGCTTGCCTAGCAGAGGGCCCTGGGTTTGATCCCAGCACCACAGGAACAAAAACAACTTTCCCTTGCTTTCACTTCTTGTGTATTATGTTATTAATCAGGCCCACACAGTATGCCGATGGCTGAAAAGGACTAGTTTTTGCAAACGAGACTGTTGTTTCACAAGGTGGCTAAGTTGTGTACAGGCCAGGAGGCAAGGTCCCAAACTGCCTCCTTGAGGATTAAGCTTGGGACATTTCATGGCTGAAGCATTGGGAAAGCGGACTTGGAGGTTCAAGAGGCAAGTGAAGAGGGTGATTCTAGGGGCTTATTCTGGAAGTAAGAGCAGTGGTATTAGGTTCTTCCTTCAGTTTCAAAATATTGTTTTTTGTATTACAAAGAATTACTGACACACTTCTTTTTTTTTTTTTCATTTTTCTTTTATTATTCATATGTGCATACAAGGCTTGGTTCATTTCTCCCCCCTCCCCCACCCCTCCCTTACCACCCACTCCGCCCCCTCCCTCCCCCCTCAATACCCAGCAGAAACTATTTTGCCCTTATTCTAATTTTGTTGTAGAGAGAGTATAAGCAATAATAGGAAGGAACAAGGGGTTTTGCTGGTTGAGATAAGGATAGCTATACAGGGCATTGACTCACATTGATTTCCTGTGCGTGGGTGTTACCTTCTAGGTTAATTCTTTTTGATCTAACCTTTTCTCTAGTTCCTGGTCCCCTTTTCCTATTGGCCTCAGTTGCTTTAAGGTATCTGCTTTAGTTTCTCTGCGTTAAGGGCAACAAATGCTAGCTAGTTTTTTAGGTGTCTTACCTATCCTCACCCCTCCCTTGTGTGCTCTCGCTTTTATCATGTGCTCATAGTCCAATCCCCTTGTTTGTGTTTGCCCTTGATCTAATGTCCACATATGAGGGAGAACATACGATTTTTGGTCTTTTGAGCCAGGCTAACCTCACTCAGAATGATGTTCTCCAATTCCATCCATTTACCAGCGAATGATAACATTTCGTTCTTCTTCATGGCTGCATAAAATTCCATTGTGTATAGATACCACATTTTCTTAATCCATTCGTCAGTGCTGGGGCATCTTGGCTGTTTCCATAACTTGGCTATTTGCTGCCCACCACGTTCTTTAAAATTTTTAAATGTATTTAATTGCCACATATTAATGGAATCTGTTTGAATTCCTTACACACATGCAGGCCTATGGAAGTTACATTCTTGTTTACCCCTAAAGTTTATCACTTGAGGTTTTTTTTTTTGTTTTTTTGTGTTTTTAAATTTATTTTATTGTTTTTACATTTCCTTATATGTGTTATACACTTGTTGGGCCACCCCCTCCCCCCCCCCAGTTTTCAATATTCTCATAAGTTTACATTGAATGCATATCTTCATTACAATGCTGTGATTTTCCAAATAAACGTCTCTTTCAGGTTTCTTTTTTTTAAGATAGGGTCTTCTTGTGTAGTACAGGCTGGCCTTGAATTCTAACTCGTGATCCACCTCCCTCAGCTTCTGAGTGCTGGGATTACAGGCATGTACTGCCATGCCCAGATATGGTTTTCATTTAGGTTTGTTATAGGAGAAAGGAAGGGACAAGGGGTGTCCCTTAGTTTTCCAGTTGAAAGTGAGACTTTCTAAGGATCTCACAAAAAGGAAAATCTCACAAGGCGAAGGTTCAGCAAGGATTTATTTCAGTAAAACACAATAGAGAAAAATATGAAAGAGAGAGAAATGTTTCCTGCTTTCCATGAAGAAAATGGGAGTGAATACTCAAAATGGTGGTTCTTAAGTGGGGTATTTATACTTTCTGAGTTGGGGGATTACATGTGGTCATATCTTTCAGCGACCTCTAATGATTAAAAACAATGGGTTCTGGGTGGGTCTATCATCGAAAACACGGGACAGACGTATTGAATTTTACAACTTCCATTTGTCATACATGCCCTCTAGTTTTCTGACTCTCTATTCAAAGAATTTGCAGCTTCTTAACATCTTAAAGGAGTAGGCAGAGGAACTTAACATCTAAAGGGAAAAGGTGATGGGAGGACAGCTTGTCATTCTGATCTTTCAGTTTTCACTTCCTGGATCTAATTTAATTTCAGAGTTTTAATATTTATCATTTTTAATTTCCCTATCACCTCACTTGTCTTAACTGTCTCAGGTTGACACAGGGAGCAGGGTTAGTAGAAAACAGTAATATTCACACTTGATTTGTTCTTACACATATAATATAGTAGTAACTCTATGTACTCTAGATAAAAAGGCTGTCTTGATTGAAAGAAAAAACAACCTTCTTATTCCTTCTTCAGAACTAGGAAATTGTCTTCAGACTAAACCAATATGAAACAGAAAAAGTATTCAGGCAAGTGAAGTGGGGGGGAGGGAGAAGGAAAGAGACAGACAGAGAGAGAGAGAGAGAAAAAGAAGGAAGAGAGAAGTGGAAAATATGAATCCAAGAAGGAAGGAATACTTACAGAATCATGTGATTGAAAATCTAGACACTTGAGTTACTGAATTTTCCCAAACAGAAATTACCAGAGAATTTGAAGAGTGCTTTTTTTGGGGGGGGGTTGAACTTAGGGCCTACACCTTTTTTTTTTTGTTATGTTTTTTTCAAGATAGGATCTCCTGAACTATTTCCCAAGGCTGGCTTCAAACTGTTGTGGCAATGTAGTCAGAGGAGAAACCAAGCGACACTCGGAGGAGTGGAGAACTCAGATTTTAATTTTTACGCTAGCGGGCCCAGACGTGTACCTGTGTCTGAGCCCTGAACAAAGGATTCACAGGATATTTAAAAGGCAGTGCAGGGCATCAGGTTATGAGGAACGAGCTCTCCCATAAAGTAGGGCTAGTAGTGGGTGAGAGACCTAAGGTTTAGATAAGAACAGCAGGGGAGTCCTGCTTTGGAAAGTTTATTTACAAGTGGAGACAGAAAGGCAGGAATGGGTGCTTATCTCTGCATGGTGCCTTTCATCTCTGTCCTGAACTTTTGCATGGCTCTACTGGGCAATTCCTCACAGCTCTGTCTGAGGTTACAGCTTTTAATTGACAGTTCACCATGTTTTACAACCCTGTTTCAAGGCTATCTTCCTCTTCAAAACTGTGATCTTTCTGATCGCTACCTCCTGAGTAGCTAGGATTACAGGCAAAAGCCACCTGCACCCGGCTGAAGAGTGCAACCTGCACCCGGCTGAAGAGTGCAACCTGCACCCGGCTGAAGAGTTCTTAAGAAGGGAGTACAGTATAAAGTTTGCAAGAACTCCCTTTGTGTAATTCTGTGGTTACTAGCAGGTTCCTTTCTCACTTCCTGGAGCACAGCTTCATTACCACCTGCCTTCACCTTGTGTTGTCTTTTTGAGGCAGGATAAGATAGAAGGAGGTGACAGGAAATTAGAAATAATATTTAAAAGGACCAGATTAAGGAATTAAACGAGAACCTGGAAGTAAAGCTGAAAATCCCTGAGAGCAACAAGCATTCCCTTTTCTTTATTTTTCATTTCTTGCTTTTAGATGTTGTGTTAGGACCCGGAATCCTATTCCCCCGAGAGACAGAGAGCCAGGCGTGAATGCAATCAACAAAGCAGAGTTTATTGGACTGGCTAGCCAGGGTCGAGCTCCCACACGGACACGCAGGACCGGTTAGGAAAGCAAGACCCTGAGCCTCTTAGGGGGAAATCTTATATAGACTGCAGTGGCGTGCATATTTTTGTTATCAACATTAGACAAGTAGGCAGAGCACATCTTGCTCGTACCTCACATCTTGCTCGTATCTCACATCTTGCTCGTATCTCACATCTTGCATTCCTCACATTCTATATGCCCTAACTGAGCCCTGCCTCATTGCTTATCTTATCTACATGGGATGTTTGGTACTGGTTTCTCCAACAAGGGGGTTGGGGCCCGCTGAGACCTCATATTCCTTTCATTCCCCCCTTTCTTATGGCCTAAATTGAGGAATCATCCTCGAGAGGATGAAGAGCCTGATATTGTTGGCGGAGGACCAGAAGTTGGATAGTATTAATTCGACTTTTGACAAAAGTCATAAGTCGGTTTAGAATCCAGGGTCCTATGGTAACAAGCAGTAGGATGATTATTATTGGCCCTGCCAGTGCAGATAAAAGGGTAGCCATCCATGGGGACTGGTTAAACCAAGACTCGAACCAGCTTTCCCCTGCCTCTTTTTCTCGTTTTCTTTGTTCCAGGCTCTTTCGGAGTTTAGACATGGAGTCACGAACAACTCCGGTATGGTCAGCGTAAAAACAACATTCTTCCCCTAGAGCAACGCATAGTCCCCCTTTTTGGAGGAACAACAAGTCCAGACCTCGTCGGTTTTGAAGTACTACCTCAGACAGAGAAGTGAGGGATTTTTCTAGGTGGCTAATGGAGGTTTCTATTCTCTCTATATCTTCGTCTATGGCTGCGCGCAGCGAAGACATCCCTTTATGTTGAGTAGCCAGGGAGGCTATGCCGGTCCCTGCCCCAGCCACCCCTAGGCTAAGTAGGGTAGCAATGGTTAGTGTAGAAATAGGCTCTCTCTTCTTTCTCTCACCTGTTCCTATATTCCAGTATGAATATAGACTTTCCTCCGAATGATAGAGGATGCGGGGCAGCACAACCACTATAACACAGAATTCTTTAGAGCTGTTAAACACCTTAGTTGATAGGCATGGGGTGAGTCCGGACCGCGAGCATAGCCACCACCCATTGTCCTTTGGAATTACCCATTTAATAGCATTTCCCCAGGTAGAACTGGCGTTAATAACAGTACATAAGTCCCGTCTGTTCTTTGGCACTTTTCCTAAGCAGGTTCCTTGGCCGTTTACCTGCTGTATGGTCAGACCTCTCTTACGGTCTCCCCAGGAACATTGAGTAGGGTTTTCCTCAGATGAGGTATCGTGAGTGGTGTTTAGCCCTATTGCCTCATAGAATGGGGGCCTCACATCATAACATAACCAACAGGAGTTAGTCATGTTAGGGTTGGTGTGGTTTAACGTCAGGAAGGCAGCACCCACTAGCTCCCAGAGGGGGTCTTTAGATGCGGTCATGAGACTGGGCCTCACCAGGGGAGGGCTGGTTTCTGATGGTCTTGGAGTTGTAACATTAGCCCGAGCTATGGTTGAGGGAAGGTGGTGAGTTGTGGAAGGTTGGGGAGATGGCTTTACATTGGGCGGCCTAAGTACCTTATTGGGGCCTACTGCTGTGGACGGTGGCCCTATGGGCTCAATTTTTAATCTGACCACTATGGTCGAGCCAGCATGTCCACCATATTTATAAAATACAAGTCCCCATACCTTACCTTGTATCCACCCAGGGGTGTCCTTCTTGCCAGTTTCAGTGAAAGTGACCTTGATTCTATCTAGATCCGTGGGCTGGCATTTATGGGTGGGTATTGGAATTCTGTGCCCCCTTAATATCCCATTTACAAAGGCAAATTTGACTAGGTCTGATTTTGATATCCCCCATTTCCATTCACTATCATTGGATGTGACACATGCCCATGACCTACAGAAGGAGTATTGTATCCCCCCACATTCCTGGTTCTTTTTGTGGCCGGGGCAGGCATAAAACCCATAACGTCGGGCTGACTCCGGGGCAGTAGACTTGTAGGCAGGATTGATGTCTCTGAAGCAGAACTGAAGCTCCGGCCACCAAGTTCCTATGGGGGCAGTGCGAGTAGTCTCGTTGAGGGTGGTATGAGTCTCCCCATCGGTGAGTATCCAGGTTTGCTTATAGGGCTGGTGAGGGTTGGTTTCTGCGAGGCTCCCGCTCTGGGCATTGAGCAAGATCAGAGCGATCAGCCACCCCATCCGTGGCTGCTCCTGAAGGCTCTGCATGTTCCCGGGGCCACAAAAGCTTTAGCTTTAATGGGTTGTCTGGGTGCCGCCGTACAGTCCACTCCTTGACCCCTTCTTGTTTTTGATGATTGGCTCGACGCACGTGGGAGTGGTGGATCCAAGGTCCGATGCCATCAACCTTGAGGGCGGTAGGGGTAGTAAACAGTACAACATAAGGTCCTTTCCATCTAGGCTCTAGGGTTTTGGACTGATGCCTTTTAACCCATACCATGTCACCCGGGACTATGCCATGTTCCGGAGCCGGGTCCCTCTTAACAGCGTGGTATGCTTGAATTAAGGGCCAAATCCGTTGTTGCACTTTAGCTAAAGCCTGCAACATGGTCAGGTAATTTGGGGCCAGATCACCTAGTTCTGGGCTTAAGGTCCTCTGAATGATGGGGGGTGGAGCCCCATACAGGATCTCAAAGGGAGTTAGCCCATGGACATAGGGGAGTTCCGGACTCGGAAGATGGCCAAGGGAAGGAGCGTCACCCAATCACCGCCAGTCTCCAGGGCCAATTTGGCTAAAGTCTCCTTTAGTGTCCTATTCATCCTTTCTACTTGCCCTGAGCTCTGGGGGTTATATTCACAATGTAGCTTCCAATTGGCCCCCATAGTCTGGGCTAGTCCCTGCAGGACTTACTAACAAAAGCCGGACCGTTATCTGACCCAATTGCCTCGGGCACCCCATATCTGGGTATGATTTCCTCTAGCAAAGCCTTTGCCACTACCTGACTCGTCTCCTTCTTTGTAGGAAAAGCCTCCACCCAGCCTGAAAAGGTATCTATGAATACCAGCAAATATTTGTACCCAAACTTTCCCGGTTTTACCTCAGTAAAATCCACTTCCCAACTTCTTCCCGGAGCCCTCCCCCGTTCCCGAGTACCTGTATGGTGCCCCTCCCTTCGTCCTGGTTTCATGATTGTGCAGCTGGCACAATCTTCCACAATTTGGCGGACTGCTATGGTCTGGTTCGGAAATCGGAGCTGCGCAGATGTCAACAAGTCTAGTAATTTTCTCCGCCCCAAATGGGTGGACTTATGTAAGTTAGCCAACAGGAATCGTCCGAGTTTTTCAGGCAGAATTAACTTGCCTTCCAAGTCGCTTTTCCATCCGTCTTCCCCTTCTCTAAAGGGGGAGTGGGCTCTCATCCAAGTGAAATCCTCTGTGGAGTATTCTGGTCGGGGGGTAGCGGAGGGAGCTCTGGGACCGGCACGTCTATCGCCGCAACCGTGGAAGGTTGCCCTGTCTCCATGGGAGGACTCACCATTGCTACTCTCTTTGCTTCTTGATCTGCTCTGTTGTTACCGACAGCTTCCGGCGTCTTGGCAGACTGGTGGCCTGGGACATACATCACTGCCACTGCCTTCGGTTTTTCCACTGCCATTAATAGACGCTGGACTTCGGCTAGGTTCTTTAGATGTTTTCCTTCTGCTGTGCGGAATCCTCTTTCGCGATAGATGGCCCCGTGGACATGGATGGTACCGAAAGCATAGCGGCTATCGGTGTAGATATTGACTCGCTTTCCTTTTGCCCTCTCCAGGGCCTCTGCCAAGGCAATTAATTCCGCTTTTTGGGCTGATGTTCCGGGTGGGAGGGCGCTGCTCCATACCGTATTTCCTTCTTGGTCGACTACAGCTGCCCCTGCCCTTCGGGCTCCATCTTGGAAAAAACTGCTTCCATCCGTGTACCAGTTTAATTTGCAGCCGGACAGGGGGGTATCCTTTAGGTCAGCCCGTACCTGTGTAACTTCGGAGAGGAATTCTTTGCAGTTATGGACAGGTGTCTGCAGTTCCGGGTTAGGCAACAAGGTGGCAGGGTTCAGGATTACGGGATCTGTGAATGTGATCCGAGGGGAATCCAACAAGAGCCCCTGGTAGTGGGTGAGCCTGGCATTCGTCATCCATTTCCCAGGGGGTTGTTTAAGGATTCCCTCCACCGGGTGAGGGGCCGTTACCCAGAGGGCCTGTCCAAAGGTTAGTTTATCGGCTTCTCTCACCAGCACGGCAATGGCCGCTATGATGCGGAGGCAGGGGGGCCATCCTGCCGCTACTGCGTCTAATTTCTTGGAAAAGTATGCCACTGGTCTCTTCCAGGGACCTAGCTGTTGGGTCAAGACTCCTTTGGCTACCCCCTTTTTCTCATCTACAAACAGAGTGAATGGTCTTGTAGGATCTGGCAAGGCTAAGGCAGGGGCCTGCAAAAGAGCGTCTTTTAGCTGATCAAAGGCCTGTTGTTCTCTCTCTCCCCAACTCCAATCTGGAGCTTCTTTGGTGGCCTCATATAGGGGTCTGGCTATTTCCGCAAATCCTGGAATCCAGAGTCTACAGAACCCCGCGGAGCCCAGGAATTCTCTCACCCCCTAGTGGATGTCGGGGATGGGATAGCCAGAATAGTCTGTTTCATGGCATCAGTCAGCCATCTTGCCCCATCTGCAATCCGATAACCCAAATATGTCACTGACCTTTTACAGATGTGAGTTTTCTTGGCACTTGCCCGATACCCCAGCTCACCTAATTCCGTTAGCAGGTGTTCAGTAGCCTTGATGCACTCCTCTCGGGTTTCTGCCGCTAACAGTAAGTCATCAACATACTGTAATAGAGTGACTCGTGGGTGGCTCCGACGAAAAGGTTCCAGGTCCTGGCTCAGGGCCTCATTAAACAGGGTGGGAGAGTTTTTAAATCCTTGCGGCAGTCTGGTCCAAGTGAGCTGTCCGGATTGGCCCCCATCTTCTTGCCATTCGAAAGCAAATAGCGGCTGACTAATTTCTGACAATGGAATGCTGAAGAAAGCATCTTTCAAATCAAGGGTTGTATACCATACTTGCGAGGGGGGTAGGTGGCTGAGCAAGGTATAGGGATTCGGAACGGTGGGATGAATGTCCTCCGTCCGCTCGTTTACCTTTCGTAGGTCTTGCACAGGCCTATAGTCCCCGCTTCCCGGCTTTCGGACGGGGAGCAGAGGAGTATTCCAGGCAGACTGACAAGGTCGCAGTACTCCTTCCTTTATTAGCCTGTGGATATGAGGGGCTATGCCTCTTCGGGCCTCCTCAGGCATAGGATACTGTTTCACCCGAATGGGGAGAGCAGAAGCCTTCAATTGTATAACTACGGGCGGGAGGTGTTTGGCGAGGCCGGTTCCCGCAGTCTCCGCCCAGGCCGTGGGAAATCTTTTTACCCAATGAGTCATGTCCCCTCCTGGTTCCTGTTGACTCTCAAACAGACGATGCTCGTCAGCCAATGATAGGGACAAGACATGAATCGGGCTCCCTTCTCGATCAGTCACAATTATTCCATCTGGTTCAAAATGGATATGGGCCCCTATTTTGGTGAGTAGGTCCCGTCCGAGCAGGGGAGCGGGGCTCTCAGGGACGACCAAGAAGGAGTGTGTGACCTGGTGTTTTCCTAAGTTCACCTTTCTTTTGGTAGTCCATGTACATAACTGCGTACCGGTGGCCCCCTGAACAACACTTGTTCGTGCCTTGTTCAAAGGTCCATGTGCCTTGTTTAAAACCGAATATTGGGCGCCGGTATCCACCATGAACCCCATCGGCTTCCCCTCCACATGCATTGTTACCCAGGACTCGGGGAGGGGGTCTGAGCCCCGTCTCCTTCAGTCCTCTTCTCCGGCTAGTAGGACTCTGGCCTGCTCTACTGCTCGTTCCCTTTCCCTGTTTTCCCCCGGTCTCCTTCCAAACCCTCTTCTTCCCTTTAACTTAGGACATTCTCTCTTCCAATGCCCCGTTTCCTTACAGTAAAAACAGTGTTCCTTATCCGGGGTCCTGGCGTGGCCCCCTCCCTGGGTTGGTCCCGGACACCCGCTAGGAAAATACGAGCCATTTCTCTCTGTTGCTTTCGGTTTTCCTTAGCCTGGAACTCCCGGTCCTCCTTTCTCAATTTCTCCTGGGCTTCCCTGTCTTCCTTTCTCTGTCTTTCCTCCCTTTCTTCTGGAGTTTCCCTAGCGGTAAAGACCTTTTCTGCTACCTGTAGCATTTCCCTTATAGTCATCTCCCCTAAGTTTTCCTGTTTATTGAGTTTTCTCCTAATGTCTGGAGCTGCCTGATTAATGAATGAGAGTACCACAGCAGACCGGTGGAGGTCCGCCTCAGGGTCAATCGGGGTGTACTGACGGTATGCCTCATAGAGGCGCTCTAAGAAACCGGCTGGGCTTTCGTTTTCCCCTTGAATGACTGCTTTTACTTTTGCAAAATTGGTGGGCCTTCTAGCGGCCGCTCGGAGACCGGCCATAAGAGTCTGGCGGTAGATCCGAAGACGCTCCCTACCTTCTGCGGTCCCGAAATCCCAATCAGGGCGGCGTAGGGGAAAAGCCTCGTCTATGGCCGGTTGGAGAGTTGTGGGTCTCCCATTATCCCCCAAGACGTTCTTCCTCGCTTCGTTGAGGATGCGCTCTCGTTCCTCCGTCGTAAAAAGAGTATTGAGCAGCTGATGACAGTCATCCCAAGTGGGACGGTGTGTATGCATGATGGACTCCAGGAGATCTATGAGACACTTGGGGTCTTCAGAAAAGGGCGGGTTCTGCGTCCTCCAGTTATATAGATCACTGGAGGAGAAGGGCCAGTACTGAAACTGTTGCCCTCCTCCCGGTCCCCCTTGGCCCACCATCCGGACTGGAAGTGTAGGGACAGTTTCCTCCCCCTGTGTTGATGAGGGGGGCCCGTCTTCCCCCTCCCTTTCCCGGATCCCTCGGGGGCGAAGTCTTCGACCCATTCCTCCTCCTGCTGCCAGTCCTGTTGAGGAGGATGAGGAAATTTCCTCCTCCGGGGCACTGGCTTGGCCAGGGGGAGTCACGTATGGAGGCGGCCGATCTTCCTCTGCCCCTGCGAGGGATGGGTAAAGGGGGGAACTCTCTGGTAAGACCGGAGATGGTGAAGGAGATGCCCTAATTTGAGGACCGGTCAAGGTGGGAAGAGGAAGTTTTTCCTCCTCCTTTATGACCAAGGCGGGCGTGACTGGGGTTTTAGCCCCGGGGGCCGAACTGGAGGGGTGGGTCAGAAAAACTGTTAACCAAGGGGGAGGGTTCCTCACCAGATCCTCCCAAACCAAAATGTAAGGAACTTGGTCTGGATGGCCTCGATTGTCTGGCTGAAAAATGACTGCTTTAACCTTAGTGATCAGGTCTAGGGAGAGGGAACCTTGAATGGGCCACCCGACTCCAAAGGTGGGCCACTCTGCAGAACAAAAGGTGTCGAACTTACCTTTCTTGATGACCAGACCCGCATTTAAGGCCCTTTCTTTAACTTCTGGAAAGTGAGAAAGGATCAGAGACTTTGGGGTTGTTTGTCCCTGTCCCATTGTGGAAGGAGACTCAAACACCAAGAGAGATAGAACAAAAAGGGTAAAGGCAACAATAATTCCACACACACACAACACTCTCCAGCACTCGCTCGGACCGGTCCTTCTCTCACACTGGTGCGCACCCCATTCAACCTCCTCACCGTCCAACTGGGATATCAGGCCGAAAGGCGTCCACTTGACGGGTGGTCGGTCGACTAGCTCAATTAGTTCTTCACCTGGCGCCAGGGTTCCTAAAATGCTCGAGCCCAAATGAGAGGAAAGCCTCTCCCAATAGGACCCTGTGGTCCTCCTTGCAAGATTCCCAGAATGAATCTCCCTGGGGATTGGCCGAATCCCCGCCGCGGCCCAAATGGAACACTCAAGTTCCTCCAAATGAGGGTCTGGGATCCCCTCCCAACGCCTAGGACTTGGGATCGCCCCTGCTTTCTCGCAGGCAGGTTCTGTCTCTCGAGAAAATGAAATCTCGGTGGGACCTCCAAATGTTAGGACCCGGAATCCTATTCCCCCGAGAGACAGAGAGCCAGGCGTGAATGCAATCAACAAAGCAGAGTTTATTGGACTGGCTAGCCAGGGTCGAGCTCCCACACGGACACGCAGGACCGGTTAGGAAAGCAAGACCCTGAGCCTCTTAGGGGGAAATCTTATATAGACTGCAGTGGCGTGCATATTTTTGTTATCAACATTAGACAAGTAGGCAGAGCACATCTTGCTCGTACCTCACATCTTGCTCGTATCTCACATCTTGCTCGTATCTCACATCTTGCATTCCTCACATTCTATATGCCCTAACTGAGCCCTGCCTCATTGCTTATCTTATCTACATGGGATGTTTGGTACTGGTTTCTCCAACAAGGGGGTTGGGGCCCGCTGAGACCTCATATTCCTTTCAGTTGAATTTTACTTTCCTTGAACAATTGGGAAGACCCAGGGGTGTCAGGTAAATGGATTCTTTGATCAGAGGGGGATGCTCATTGTCTCCATGATTTGAGTACTATTAAGACCGATTTTAGCCATGTTTTGAATAACAGACACACCCTAAACCTATTGTCTCCACGCTCGGAAACGTTCCAACATGATTAGGGGTTTCTAGGAGAGGTGACCAAGGATCTAAATGGGCATTCAAGATGGAATCCCTCGGTTCAGAAAGTATCCGTCCATACACCTGGAACAAGGACTGTTATTTGGAGCTGCTTTGCTCTCTCCTCTTGTGTGTGAAGCAAGAGTTTCTACTTTTTTCCTGCTTTGCCTTGCTTTACTAAATAAATCTTTGCTAAACTCTCACCTTGGGAGGTTTTCCTTACTGCGAAACCCTCCAAAACGCCTTTCTTTGTGATTATCAAGTACCTGTGATTCTCGTGGGAATTGGGAGGCTGAATGGAGGTTTCTGCTCTTTTTGTCTCTCTCTGGGAGATTTTCATCTTCTACTCCTCAGCTATTTTAGAATCTTTCCATCTTTTACCCCTAGCTTCATTTCACTTCCCCTGTCAAGTCTTTCCAGAAGATTGTAATTTCCGTTTCTTTCTCCATTTACTGAAGTGTTTATAACTAAAAGCCCAACATGTAGTAGTTAATCAAAAGTGTGAGTCTCCTCCCCTCCAAACAGGCAATGTAATTCCTTAGTTTGGAGACTATTTAAGCTTCTTTTAAAAATTCTTGGAAAAGTTCTGGGTTCATACTTATTAAATATACTTCCAGGTTAAAAATTTTGTCAAATATGCCAAGAACAACTGCTTAAAAACGCTGTATAAACGTTTGTTTCAGCAAGAAGAAACTTCATTTTGACTGTCTCGACAAGATCTCTAAGTCATTCCTCGAGTGAAGTTGAAATCTTTCAATTTATTAAGAATTGTAAAAAAAAAAAAAAGGCCTCCATAGAGAGAGTTTAGCAATAAGCTCTCAGATTCGCTCTGCAGTAACAGGCCTATAATGATCCGGACGGGAAAGTGTCAAATTTCGCAAACACCTCGGCGGGGAGTGACACGATCAACTACGCAGTTTGTTCGTCCATCCAATAACGGCGATGACCAGGGCCTTACAGCCGCTCAGATGCCAGCCGGCGTTCGCATCCTTAGGCAGCCAATGGGGCCGTGTGGGTGCGGTGCATCCTGGGAGTTGTAGTTTCCTACTCTCCCCTGTACCAGCGCCACAGAGCGGCTGTCGGACGGTTGCTTGGTGTTACAGCAGGCGGCAAGTATGGCCGTGGCGCACGCCGACGGGGTTTTGCCTCCCGGAGACGGTAAGGCGATCCCCACCCGTAAGTCCCAAGGTTTATTCCACTGAGCTGAAGTAAATAGTTGCCTGGTGGAGAGAAGCAGCCCAGTTTGCGGTTGCAGTTCTGGACCTGTTCTCTGGATGTGAGACTCGGGCGTTGCGGGGCGCGCTGCCTTCTGGGAGTTGTAGTTCCCAGGAGCTGTCCAGCTCTGCAGCTTTGCAGCGAGGGCCTGGTAGGGGACTTCAGCCCCCAGGAGCCTTCGCGACGCCGGGCACCCCCGTCCCGCGCTCCCAGCCCTCGGGTGCGGTGGGTTTCGGGCTGCGGTGATCTTTTTCTCGTACGTTTATTTTGTTCCGCGTGCCCGCGGGAAACTTGGCAGGATTTCTCTTTCAGTCGCGCCCGGTTCCTAGAACGTTGAGGAAACATCTCAGATCTCCATAGGCTGCCCGAAGTCCTCCTTGGAGGTGGCAGTGGCCAAGATAAAATCGGGGGTAAACGTAGCCCAGGTACCCCCGCCCCTAGAGCTGCAGACCGGGTCCTTGGATCGAGTTGGCCTTGGCTCAGCGGGGCGCAGGATGCGAGGCGCTTTTGTTTTGGTTACCACTCGGGGCGTGGTAGCCACCTTGTGGTCCAAGCTGGGCGGCTTAGGTGAGGGGCGGTTGTCTGGAATCCCGGAAGTCTCGGGGACCAGTGTCCATGTTCTAAGAGGTCTCTCGACAGTTGGAGAACCCTGCGAAACTGCGTGTGCTTTTCTGGGACCGCGCACAGCTCGCATTGCATTCTCAGGGCTCAGGACCCCTCACCTGCTGAGAGCACTTGGACAGTGGAAGAACGGTGAAGCCCGCCAGGAGAGCAGGCTGCTGGATCCTGTTCTGACCGTGCATTTGAAATTGATCTCCCCCCCGCCCCCCTCCGCCCACCTCCGACAGCTGCTGTTCCTAAACTCCACCTCTAGCCCACCAAGGCAACTTAACCTACAACAATAGCACTTACCGTTATTTACCTAGCCACTTGATAGGAGCCAGACAATGTTTTGAGTGCTTGTCTTACACCTGCTCACTTTTCTGTGTGGAACACTTACAAGGCAGGTATCATTATCATCATCCCATCTTACAGAGTGGAAAAATGAGTCCAAAGAGTCAGTAACTTGCCCAGCATAGCACACGGTTACTGGTGGAAGGAACCACAATCTGCCCTTATGTTATACTAAAGTGCTATTGACTACTATGTGTCTGGACCAGGGTTAAGTGCTGTTCCTTTAATTTCTTTTAGTCCGCACATCAACCTTGTGAAATAGGCGTCGTTATTATTTTATCTTAAAGATAATAGTTTGGGTTCTTATATACCCATAATTAGGTTGTAAGAAGGTTGGTTTCTATCAAAAGTTAAGTTCCGTTTTAAAAATGCTGTTATTAGGTACAAAATACTCATGTTTAAATGCGAACAATTCCAAAGTATTATATCACAGAAATTTCAGTATTAAATATAGTTGTAATTTGATATTTCTGAGAAGAAGTAATTCAATTTGTGGTTATTTAGAATGCTAGATTGCCTTTGTTTTAAAATCTTGATATTATGCTCTGGTGTTTTGTAACTTGTATAGAAATTTTATTAGCATAACCCCATCCCTGTGCTCAACTGTCATATTTGTTTTAGTTGTGTTTTCTAACTGTCTTCTCTTTTCAAGGATCAGTGGTCAATTGGTCAGGGCAGGGACTACAGAAATTAGGTCCAAACTTACCCTGTGAAGCTGATATTCACACTTTGATTCTGGATAAAAATCAAATTATTAAACTGGAAAATCTAGAGAAATGCAAACGATTAATGCAGGTGGGTATTGATTGCTATCTGGGGAATCATTACATAGGACTAATTTATTGTTAAACAATATAAGACAAAAACATAAAGTAAGTCCAGGTCTGAAAAGCAGTAAATGTTGCCTTAAATTTTTACATCTTCTTTTGAAGATGAACACAAATGTGCTACATTTAGAGTAGACTAGAAAAAGCAGCATTGTGGAATAAAGAACACATTTTTTTATGTATTGTGTTGCTAAGATAACTTTTGACTTCATTATGGAGTACAGTTTGTTCATTCATTCATTCAAGAAATGTTTGTTGAGTTCCTCTTACTATGTTTGGGGCTGTTGTAGGTTTTGATTGAGACAGAATGAGGACCCAGTTTTTGTGGCGCTTACATTCGCAAGTTGTTTCTGTGTTAAAAATGTCTCTAGTAATCGGAGGAGGTCTAATCACTCAGCTTATCTGTATTTTCTTTTGGCTGGGAACAACAAAAACTAATACATACTGTAGATAGTAGATTTAGATAATATTGTGAAAAGTACAAATTAAGTTTGTGTATTTGGGAATGTTTGGCCATATAACAGACTTTTACCACCATAATGTGAAAAAAATATATATATATTTCCTAGGAGTAATGATATATTTCTTTCCACAGTTGTCAGTGGCTAATAATCGGCTGGTTCGGATGATGGGTGTGGCCAAACTGACCCAACTCCGTGTATTAAATTTACCTCATAATAGTATTGGCTCTGTGGAGGGGCTAAAGGAATTAGTACAGTTGGAATGGCTGAATTTGGCAGGAAATAATCTCAAGGTGAATTTAAAAAAATTTTTTTTAGTTTTTATTTCAAATTGCTCTCTGTAAAACAGAAATTCAAGCAGTATAGAAATAAGAATAAAAAATAAAAAAATCCAAAAATGATTCTGGTTGAAACTGTTCGAGGATAGAGGGGAGAAGGGGATAAAGGAGAATGGTAGGGGGGTGAATTAAAGTATGATATATTGGATATATCGTAAGAAATTTTATGAAAGCTACAGTGTATCCCCACCCAGCACAATAAAAACAAACAAATAAATAAAATATCCACTACCACTCCCCAAAGATAATCTGTACTGACATAAACTAAAAGAAGTCTCATTTTGAAACACATAATACAGTATAGTATTCTTTTAAATGTAAACAAAGAATATATTTTACTCTTAGAAAAAAGTAGATCAAAAATAGGATGGTGAGTGGAAAGCCTCTTCCCCATTGAATTAAGCTTTAAATAGATGTTTAATGGTATGATGGAGAATATACTGTTTTGAAAGTCAAGAGATCTGGATGCCTGTCCTCCTTTCACCACTTACAGCTGTATAATTTTTGAGAAGTTAAAAAGTATCTCTGTGTCTTATTTTTTTATATGTTAGGTGAGGGGACTAGGTTAAATAATAATGATAGCTGCCTTTTACTGAGCAATTAATTAGTTGGTACTATTGTAAACACATTATTTGTATTAACTCATTCAGTCTCGTGTCAGCCTGTGAGGTAGGAGTAGTTCTTATGTCCTTATGTTGATGAGGAAACTGAAGCACACAGAAGTTGATAACTTGCTCAAAGTCACACATTCAGGAAGTTGCTGAGCCAGATTTTAAATCTGGACTGTTGGGCTTCACTCTACACTTGTAATTTCTGTTCTGTACCAACTGTCATATGCCACTAACGTTTCTTCGGGCTCTAAATATCTGGAAGTGCTTGGAAACCTACTTTTAGAGAAATAATGGAGAAAGTTTGCAACATGACAATTTATTATTTCCATTATTAGTGTATATTATTGTACAAAGGGCTTTCATTGTGATATTTCCATAAATGGAGAAAGTTTGCAACATGACAATTTATTATTTCCATTATTAGTGTATATTATTGTACAAAGGGCTTTCATTGTGATATTTCCATATATACATATATATTTATCATATTTTTATCATATTTACCTCCTTATCGCTCTTCCCCCTTTTTAAAATTTTTTACTTTTTTTGGCCGTACTGGGGTTTGACCTTAGGACTTCACAGTTGCTAGGCAGACTCTCTATCACTTGAGCTATGCCCCTAGCCCTTTTTTGCTTTAGTTATTTTTCAGGTAGTGAAAACTGGCCTCTGGGCCAGTCTCAGATGGTGATTCTCCTGTTGAAGGTCTCCCACTTAACTGTAGTGACAGGTGTGGGCTGTCATTGTCATCCAGCTTATTGGTTGAGATTGGATCTTGGTAACTTTTTGCCAAGGCTGGCCTTGAACCATGATCCTCCTGACTCTACCCCCAGAGTAGCTGGGGTTACAGGCATGAGCCACTGCACCTGGTATATTTCTAACACTTTTTTATGGATTTCATTATTCTATTTTCATGCATGCATATAGTGTACTTTGATCATATTCATGTTCCCATCACCCCCTCTCTCCCTCCCTCTTTCTGTTGGTTCCACTGCAACAGTCCCCCTTTTACATTCATATTTTCTTTTTAGGTCTTTTTAGATTCCATATATGAGACAAAATGTAATATTTGTCTTTCTGAGTTTGACTTATTTTGCTGAACATGATGATCTCTGTCCATTTTCCTGCAAACTACATGATTTCATTCTTCTTTATGGTTGAATAATACTTCATTGTGGAATATACCACATTTTCTTTATCTGTTCATTAGTTGATGGGCACTTAGGCTGATTCCATAGCTTGGCTATTGTAAATAGTGCTGCAATAAACATGGGTGCAGCATGAAAACTTAGTAAGTGTTATCTCTTCCTCCTTTTTCTCTGTCATCTTAGATGTTCTATAATATAAGAGAAAGTATGAGAGAAGAATTTCATTTCTTGATTTTGAGTACTCTAAATAATGTGATTTTTTTTCATAATAGGCCATTGAACAAATTAATAGCTGCATAGCTCTACAGCACCTTGATTTATCAGACAATAACATACCTCAGATAGGTGACCTATCTAAATTGATATCCCTGAAGGTAAGTGTGTTTTCTATGTCATTTCTGAAATTTTATTTTGAAATACCAAGTGAAGATGATCTGGTTGCCCTAAAATCAACTTGCCACATATGAAGAACAGACTGTTTTATTAGAAGAATTTTATCAGAGTGCTAGAAATTAAGTATGGAACTTTTGACCTTCCTTTCTTCCTCTCTTTTTTTTTTTTTTTTTTCAAAAAACAAAACAAAACAGGCTGGTCTTGAACTCTGAGCTCCAGTGATCAAGTGATGCACCTGCCTCAGCCTCTCAAATGCTGGGGCTACAGGCATATGCCATTGCCCTCAGCTTTGCTGTTAGCATCTGTAACTGCTGAATTTCATGTGAAACTAGTTATTGTAGTTAAAGTTAATTCTTATTTACCATCCTCTGAATATGATTATTCCCTTCATACTCAACTAGCTAATGCTAGTGACTTTAGTTATATAGTACATAACATGTTGGTAAGGTTGGGAGTTGCCAATCCTAAACTTGAGTCACCTTCTGTTAGCTTTTGTTTGTGTTTTTGAGACAAGGTGTCACTATGTTGTCCAGGCTAGTCTCAAGCTCCTGGGCTCAAGTGATCCTCCTGCCATAGCCTCTTGAGTGGCTGGGTCTCCAGTTGCCTGGACTTAAAGGCATGTGTCACCCTGCCTGGCTCTCTCTCTTTTTTTTTTTTTTAAACTCTCTGGGTTTCTGTTTTTTAGTGCTAGGTATTAATTAACAAAATTAATTTAATTTCAACTTAAAAATAAACATGTAGCATGTAGGACTTTATGGAGGAGAATGTATCATACATTCAAATGACAGACTTACAGCTTCAAAAAACATGTAGAGCTTTTTCTGTATTTGCCCTTCATTGGATATTATTAGCATCAAATGGACTCAGTAGGCCTTAGAAGCAGTATCTTAGCTGTTTCCCCCACATCTTCAGCAGAAATCATTTTTAGCAAAAACTATGCTAAATAATTCGATGTAACCAGATGCCATCCTGATAGATGCTATGAGAATTTGAACGAACTAAAGATGATTGGACATTGTGTGTGTATTTCTGGAATGGAGACATGATTATATAATCATAATCCTGTGTGTTTAATCTTGTACTTATTTTTTATTATTGCTGGCTTAGAATGAATCAGCATATCTGCAAGCAGCAAATTCTACCTTCCTCTAGCTTTTAGTTGCCAACAAAACATAGTTGTGAAACATAGTTGTCAAACATAGTTGTGAAGTCTGTGGCTTATCGCTCTGTCTCTCTTTCAGAGAATTTGCTTTCTATGTGATCATTTTATTGTGGTGGCTTAAAAGGAGGTAAATAATTGTGTTGGAAATTATTTTGTGTCTCCTGACTCAGCTCTCATAGCATGCTAGTCACTCAATCAAGCATGCGTTTTTGGACAAGTCTTTTGCCTTTCTTGAGCTTCAGATGTTAGTATGGAAAGAGAAAGTTGGACAAGAAGACTACCTAGAAACTTTCTAAGTATTAATAATCTTTGATTTCTGTGTTATGAGAAGTGTAACAAAATATCCCTTTATTCTTGCATACTATTTTGATGTTGTTAAAATTGACTAATTGATTTATGATGTGTTTTTACTTTTAAGACCCTGCTTTTACATGGAAATATTATCACCTCTCTTAGAATGGCACCTGCGTATCTACCTAGAAGTCTTGCTATACTTTCTTTAGCAGAAAATGAAATCAGGGACTTAAATGAGGTAAATTTTGAAGATACTCTGGGGTTCAGGAAGGTAGAGTTGAGAAAAGATAGAGGAAAGGCTGGTGAGCTCACTTTTACACCGAGTCTCTTGCATGGAAATGCCATCAAGATGAAACACTGGCCCTAGAAGATCACTATTTTTCTTTCTACTTTTTTTAAATGTCAGTGGGTTATTAAGGCTTTTTCATTTTGTAATACTGCGATTATCATCACATTGGGAGGTGATTGGTGGTAGAGGGTCATCTACATTACAGGGGTTAATAATGCACCCTGTCCACCTTTCCCTGGCTGCTATTATGTTTTCAGAATAGGGCTTTCTTTGCTGGGAGACAGTGCTGACATTTTCTAAGGGACTTTATGCAGCAAGGACAAATGGTCATATTGTTGGAATTTTGGAAGTCAGTATCTAATAGAAGAGTATTACTTGTTGCTTTTTAAAACAAGAGGGAAATTGTTATATTCTCAAATGATGCCAAAGATGTGTAATCAGTAGAAGCCCGGTGCTTCACACTGAATAGTCCATTTTGTTCAACAAAGATATCCTTTGTTCCAGATCTCTTTTTTGGCATTCTTAACTGAATTGGAGCAGTTGTCGATCATGAACAATCCTTGTGTGATGGCAACACCTTCCATTCCAGGGTTTGACTATCGACCATATGTCGTCAGCTGGTGCTTAAATCTCAGAGTCCTAGATGGATATGTGATTTCTCAGAAAGAAAGGTGAACATGATCTCTCTAATATCACATTAATCATAGAAGTTAACTGAAAAGACCATTTGTAGTTTACTATAGATTAATAAATTTAATATTTCTTAAAATGTATGTTCAGAAGCTAAGAGCATTAGAGTAATCATATAGCAGACTATGAGCTGGTCATTTAGAATCGTTTCTCTTTTCTCTGAAAAAAACAGACAAGGACAAATTACCAGCTTCAGACGTTGGAGCTGGTGAGTCTAGCTTGATGCCTAACTTAAAACAATTTGCTTTCTGAAAGTGCTTTTGTTAAGCAGTTGTTTAAAACTTGGAGCATTTTTTTGTTTTTCTTTTTGTGGCACTGGGGTTTGAACTTAGGGCCTATACCTTGAGCCACTCTGCCAGCCCTTTTTTGTGATTTTTTTTTTTTTTGAAGTGGGGTCTTTTGGAACTATTTGCCCAAGCTGGCTTCGACTCGAGATCTTCCTGATCTCTGCCTCCTGAGTAGCTAAGATTATAGGTGTGAGCCACTGGCATTTGTCACTTGGACACTTTTGCATAGAAAACCAGGTTATGAATCTTGTGTAGCATCTCAGCTTAATGCCACAAAAGCTTACAAACTATTGTATAAGTAAAGGAAATATTAATAACATCTTAGAACTCAATTACCCTCTATAATGATGCCCCTGAGAAAATGCATATGGAGTTCCAATTTGGACCTAGTAGCAGACATAGTAGTTGCTTTTCCCTGTCACCTATCCATGAACCAGCGAAGTGGGAACTCCTCTAGTTTAGGTCATTGATGATTTCTGTGGCTTAGAGCTTGGACCCCCTACGGGGTGAAGTCTTTTGGACACTGGTCCATAATCAGTGGAGTCAGAACCTTAGGGAAGGTGAAGAATTAGGATGTGGACAAGAAGAGCGGGTGGGGAGCAGGGAGACAAAAGGGGATAATGCCTCATTCAAAGTGAATAGATGTGCACATCTGTCATGCTCTCAACACGCGTGTTCTCCCTCACTTTTAAAGATTATTCCGTACTAGAGACTGATAGCAATTACAAAAGGTGTATGAGTGGGACAGCAAGTGATAGGTGATAATGTTTCCGTTTTCCTTCTTCCTGCAGCTTCATATAGCTGCTGAGTAGAACGGAGCAGCGAGGAATGGCAGGCAGGAGCTAGACAGTGGTGGTACTAGTTTAGGGCGAGGGACGTTTGCCAGGTCTAGTTTGTCTACAGACTTTTCCTTTTTCCTAAGTATTGCTCAGAGAAGAAACTTAATTTTGTTTCAACTTGTGATTATTTCTAAACCAGAGTATGTGCTTGAATTACCTTCTCTGAGTATTTCTTTCTCTTTTTTTTTTTTTTTTTTTTTTGCGATTTGAACTCAGGTCCTATACCTTGAGCCACTCTACCAGCCCTCTTTTTTTGATGGGTTTTTTTGAGATAGGGTCTTAAGAACTATTTGCCCCAGCTAGCTTTGAACCTTGATTTTCCTGATCTCTGCTTCCTGAGTAGCTAGGATTACATGCGTGAACCACTGGTGCCCAGCTTCTGAATATTTATGAAAAGGACAATATGATTGTTAGGTTTTTCTGGCAGCATGTTGAGGTGAGTAGAGATAATGCCCTCCCATAATAACCCAAATTCAGGATGGCCAACCTCATGGCCAATTCATGTTATATACTCCTACTCACTCTCCCTTCTGAATTATTTTGAAGCAAGTCTCAGATTGCATGTCATTTCATCTATGAATGTTTCCATATATATCACTGAAAGAGAAGAGCTCTTAAAGAGATAACCACAAAGCTATTATAACATCTTGAAAAAAAATCCAGACTAATGCTTTAATAACATCAGATATAGGGTCAGAACTTATATTTCCAATAATCCTTATAAATTTTAAAGTTTTTTTTTTTTTGGCAGTGTTGAGGTTTGACTCAGAGCCTTGTGCTATTAGACAGGTGCTGTGCCATTTGAGCCATGCCAACAGCCCTGAACTGTGAGGGTTTTTTTTGGAAATAGGTTCATATGAGACCATATATTGTGATTGACCGATACTGCTTTTAAGGTTTTTGTTTTTTTCTCATGTTCTCTCTTTTTAAAATGTCTTAAGACATCAGTTTATTATTAGTGTATGCTCTGTAAGTTAGCTGTGCTGACTGAGTGGTTCTCAATTGGGATCTTTTACCCTTGCAATCAGATCACATGTGGGGATAGTCATCTGAAGTCTTGACTTGGCTGGATGTCCAAGATAATCCCCTTATGTCTCTCAATCTATCAGTTCCTTCTTTCTTTTATTATCCTTCTGTCTTGCTACGTAGCCCAGGCTGACTTTGAACTAGTGATCCTCTTCCTCAGCCTCTTGAGTGCTGGGGTTACAGGCATGTGCTATCATGCCTGACTCCCTCTCTCTCTTTCTCCATTTTTTTTTGCTGTTGTAGAAGAAATCAAATTATTTGTCTTAAGAGTTTCCCACTATTTTCTCATTTTGCTGATCATTCCCTATGTCTCTATTGGATTCTATTGAGTAGCACCCAGTGCCTGGTTGATTGTCTCTTTTTTTTTTTTTTGGTGGGATTGGGGTTTGAACTCAGGGCTTTGAGCTTGCAAAGTAGGTGCTGTACCACTTGAGCCATGCCCCTGGCCCATTTTACTCTGGTTATTTTGGAGATGGGGTTTCAGGAACTATTTGACTGAGCTGACCTTGAACTGTGATCTTCCTAATCTCAGCCTCTTAAATAGCTAAAATTTCAGGTACAAACTACCGGTGCCAAGCTTTCTCTCTTGTTTTTTAATAGCTAGTAATGATCAGTGCCTAAAACCATTACTTTACTAAGGATTGCAAAACAGTGAAATTCTGTCATTCATTCTGTCACAGGAATACTCCTATGAAATAACTATCTAGTTTACCATTGGTATAGTTGTATAGGAGAGAAAGAATTAATATTTAATTCTCACTTTTCTCTTTTTTATTAGCATATATTTATTGTGCAAATGGGTTTCATTATGACATTTCCATACATGCATATAATGTATTTGGTCAAATTCACTCTCTGTTACTCTTTAATTCTCACTCTTTATTTACCAGATTTTAAAAATGACTTGGTGGTTCACTAGCATTCTCTATGACCAATTAGCTTTTTTTTTTTTTAACAACAGCCTTTTATGAACTAGTAGCTTTTAATGCAATGAATGCATTTAGATACTTCAGTGTGACAAAATAAATGGAGAGAATACTCCCTGCTGCTTTGAAAATAACTTCAAAATAGCTGGAATCATTAGTGTAGACTTGTGGAAGTACCCCTAAGTATGGAAAAAAGCTTTACAACATGATTAGAGTAAGGGAAGTGAATTAGAAAGCTAGAGTTTAAAAAAAAAAGTGAATTTATTTATGAAAAATATCCAATGGTTTTATAAAGATAACTTAAGACGGAAGAGCACTGTTGCTTAACAGTATATTTTGATCACCCCAAGAGCTCTCCCCTCTTCTTTATTTCCTTCAATTACAGCTTGAAAGCTGAATGGCTTTATAGTCAAGGCAAAGGGAGAGCTTATCGGCCTGGCCAGCATATCCAGCTTGTCCAGTATCTGGCTACAGTCTGTCCTCTCATTTCTACATTGGGTCTTCAAACTGCAGAGGATGCTAAGCTAGAGAAGATTCTGAGTAAGCAGCGGTAAGCCTATTTATTTGTAGAGCTGATGGACTCACAAGTGAAAGTACCTTTGACTCTTTCCTATAGTGATGCAGGGTGGAGACCAGTCCTGTGGTCCACATTTCCAGGCACCCAGGCCCCTGTCACTGCAGTTCTGCAGGGAAGGTGCAACTACACAGGGTAGCTGCTCTATAGTAACTGTATTGCTATTGCTTCTTGAGTAAGCAGAGCCAAGCAATGTGGAATGGGGGAAATGTATTTGTCAGGGTCTAGGGTTGTAGCTCAGTGGTAGACTACTTGCCTAGCATGTTCAAGGCCTGGGGTTCGATCCTCAATACCTCAATAAACAAAACAAAGTGGTTTTGGCCTTTTGATGTAGGTGTATCATGCAGACTTTTAGATGCTAATATTAAGAAACATAGGCAGAAGTATTTAGTAGTTACTTCTTTTGTCAGTGATCCTTCCTTTAAATGTTTGTGCATGTGCAAATGTGTGCCTATGAGGGTGTCTATGTAATTTAAAAATAAGCTTTAGCCTTTTTTTTATCCAGTGTTTTCAAATGAGACTTTATAATTTGCCAGGAACTAAAGATACTTACTTTGCAAACTTGTAAACTTCTTTTTGACATTGTTGCCTAGGAAGCACAGAATTGTTTTTGTTTGTTTGTGTCAGATAACACAGAGGTTAAATTGGTTTTCAGGTTTCATCAGAGGCAGTTGATGAACCAAAGCCACAATGAAGAGTTTGCTCTTCTTGAAACAAGGGCCTCTCTTTCCCCTGAGCATTCAAGTCCTGTTCAAGACTGCCAGATAGTCCAGGAAAGTGGTAAGAAATTAACTTACCTCCCTGGTCACTGTTCAAGTCATTTGATTTACTGGATATCATAACATTGAAAAAGTATATATTTTTATAACTTCTTATTAGTTTAATTTTACTGATCATTTGGCTCTGATATTTTATGTAAGTATGTAGACAGACATTTTGAACAAGTATATACATATATGTACATGCACACATATATTATAGGTGTATAGGTATATATGTTTATGTATGTACATTACAATTTGTATTTTTGATCTTTAAAAACATTTCAAGGACTGCTACCTTTTGTATAGACCCAAGGCTTGTATTATTACAAGAATTCTTCTTTTTTGTGGGACTGGGGTTTGAACTTAGGACTTTACACTTACAAAGCATGTGCTGTACTTTTTGAGCCACAGCTCCAGTCCATTTTGTTCTGGTTATTTTGGAGATGGGGTCTCAAGAACTATTTGCCCAGCCTGGCCTTGAACCATGGAACCTCCTGATCGCAACCTCCCAAGTAGCTAAGATTACAGACATGCGCCACTGGTGCCTGGCACAAGAATTTATTTTCTTAAAAATGTTTGGTTTGGAGGGTTGGTGGAGTGGCTTAAGCAGTAAGAGCCCCTGCATAGCAAGCATAAGGTGCTGAGTTCAAACCCCAGTGCTGCAAAAACAAAAACAAAGCAAAAAAAAAAACGCAAGTGAACAAAACTGATAATTTAATATCTGCAGGGGGTTAAGGGGGAGAGAAAATGAGAGTGATCTAACCATGTGCAATATAAGCCTGATCGGAATTGTCACTATGAATCCTCCCCATATAACAAATATATCGTAATAATTTTTTTTTTATTAAAAAAATGGTTTGGGCTGGCAGAGGAGCTCAAGTGGTAGAGTACTTGCCTTGCAAGATAAAGGCCCTGAGTTTAACCCCTAATACTGCCCCCCCCCAAAAAAAAGATTGGTTTGGACTAATGTGATGGAGAATGCCTATAATCCCAGATACTTGGAGGTAGAGATCAGAGGATTATGGTTCAAGGCCATCCTGGATAAAATGTTATAGCCTGTCTCAACAACTAAGCTGAATGTGGTGGTCCACATCTGTAATCCAGCTAGCTGTTTGGGAGGTAGGAGGGGCTGAGGCTGGCCTGGGCAAAGAGCGGAAGACCTTATCTGAAAAATAACTGAACAAAAGGGCTGGGACATGGTTCAAGTGGTAGAACCCTTGCCTAGCAAGCACAAGGCTCTGAATTCAAAAGCCAGTAACACACACACACACACATGTTTGGTTTGAACATAAAAGGAAAACTATTGGGAGGACAAGCAGTAGGATATGGGAGAGGGAAAAGAGAAGGGGAGAGTATGATTGAAATCCAGTGTGTGTATGTATGAAAAGGTCATAATGAAACCCACAGAAAAATTTATAAGAAAGTTGGAGTGGGGGGAAGAGGATAAGAGAGTGGTGGAGAGGGTATGATTAAGGTGTGCTGTGTGAATGGGTGGAGATGTCACAACGACGTCCTTCACTTTGTACTGTTAACATACAACAATAAAAAAAGTGGCTTGATGTTTTAGGCATGTTGGAAGAAGTCACTGAAGGCATTTTATTGAGTTTCACTATATTTTTGGAATTAAATTTCATTAAAAGGATACAGCTAAAAAACTTCAAATATTTAGTAATACTATGTTGATTCTTCTAGAACCAGTCATCCAAGTCAACTCTTGGGTTGGTAATGATGATCAGTTATATGCTGTTAAGAATAACTTTCCAGCCTCTGCACACACTACAAGATATTCTCGAAATGATCTGCACTTGGAAGACATACAGACAGATGAGGACAAGTTAAACTGTAGTCTTCTCTCTTCAGAGTCTACTTTTATGCCAGTTGCATCAGGACTGTCTCCAGTGTCACCTACAGTTGAGCTGAGGCTACAAGGCATTAACTTGGGCCTGGACGATGATGGTGTTGTAGATGGATCTGTGAAAAGGCTGGAAAACCAGAACTTGGATAAGGAAGAGGAAAAGACTTTATGGGGTACAAATGAGAGTTCTGTTCAAATGTTGACAAGAAAACTCAGCACAGAGGTAAATGAGAAAGCTGGGCTATTACCTTGTTCCGAGTCAACAGTAATCAGTGCTATCTTAAAGGATAATAACCGTAGTCTTACATCTTTTCCTGAATCAGCTGGATACAGTATCTCCCATATAGAGCCAGATAGTGAAGAAACCATGTCTCAAACAACTTTAGAGAACCTTCCCTGCAGGATTTTAACTCAGAGATCTGTTGCTTTGCAACAAGGTAAAGTTTCCATTCAGAAATTGAATGAAGCAGCCACCAAGGTTCAGGCCTGTTGGCGGGGCTTTTATGCCAGAAACTACAACCCACAAGCCAAAGAGGTGCGTTATGAAATCCGGCTGCGCAGAATGCAGGAGCACATTGTCTGCTTAACCGAAGAAGTGAGAAGGTGGGTCAAAACCCATCTGGTGCTTTATTGGTTTGGGGGTGCAGATGTTCTTAAGTTGTTTTAGAACATTGCACTGCAGTGGTCAGGGCAGTCTTTACACTATGTAACCACTATTGGCTTGCTTGTTCATCTCCAAGGATATCCTGAAAGCATCTTGAGTGCAAATATTGTCATATGTATCTCTATCCCTAGCACAGCAATTGGTACATAGATGGAGTGTCACAAACATGTTGAATGAACATGAGGTATATAGCCAACTATAATTCTAAACACAGAAAGGTTCAACAGTGTAGAAAACCTGGATATGTAAAAAAAACAGGAAGGTGAGGAAGTATACCTAGAACCCTAATAAAGATGACATATGAATAGAGAAAATTACAGAGATTCAAAAGGGACTGAAATTTTGGAGCTACTAGGAATTATTCCTTAATTTCATGGCTCACATGTTTTATAGACTGCCAACCTAGGAAAATTAGGATTTCATTGGTATTGAAGCTATCAGTATTATTAGTATACCAAGTGGAAAATGAGAAAGAAGCAAAAGAGACAAAGAAGGGATAGCCAGAATGATAGGAAACCTAGGAGTGTATATGTTTGGTTCTGACGGGAAAATGTTTCAGGAGATGAGAGATGCCTTAGAAAGGACAGAAAACTAGACATTAGATTTAGTAATTAGAGATTATTGGTAGACACCAATAGTGACCCTCAGACTGTCTTTCATGATTTGCTAAACTCAGGAGCTACAGAACTCAGGAAAATTATTCTGTTCATGGTTACAGTTTAATACAGCAAAAACATACAAATTAAAATTATCAAGAAAAAAAGGCACATAGGGCAGAGTCTAGGAGAGACCAGGTACAAATCTCTAGTTCTCTTCCAGTTGAGTCATATAGAGAAAACTTAATTCTAACAGTTGTGATATGTGACAATACAAAGTATTGCCAGCAAGGGAAGCTTACCTGAGTGTCACTGTCCAGGGTTTTATTGAGGGTCAGTCATATCAGCATTTAGTGCCCATATGAATTACTTTACTCAGATCTCAGGCTCCCTAGAGGTCGAACTGGTACACTGTTTGACCCCATGTTAACAAAACTCATTGAAATCACATTGTTAACATGAACTATCTGGTGTGATCCAAGACTTGAGGTACACAAAGATACTCTTTTTCAGGTAGGATACTCCAAGGCTTGGAGTTTATCTCCCAGAATCCAGTCAAGAACCAATCTTCTGAGTTAACCTTTCACTGCACAGTGACTTTCCTAAGAGCACTGCAAGTAATGTGAGGAGATGAGTGCCAGTTTGAAATGGGTTGAATAGTCAATGGGAGGTAAAGAGTTTAAAGAATGAGTGTAGCCAACTCGGGAAGAAGGAAAAGAGAGTAGTAGATGGTTGCTAGAGAAGAATCTGAGGTTAAGGAAGACTTGTCTTTGAAAGGTGGGAGATACAGAGTGTGTTTGTATGTTGGTGGGAATGATTCAATAAGGAAGTAAAAACTGATGGTACAGAGGAAAGAGGGGAGATGTGCAGGGTTGAAGTTGTTGAGGTATTGAAAGAAGAAAGAGTACCAGATGGCACTGGGGACGGGGAGGGGTCTGGAGAAAATGGAGAATTGGGTTGGAAGTTTAGAACAGGGCTGGAGTATAGCTCAGAAGTAGAGTGCTTGCCTAGCATTTGTAAGGCCCCAGGTTCCCAGCAATGAAAAAAAAAAAAAAAGAACAAAATATCAGAATAAAATGGAAGTGACAGTCTGGTAATAATGGGTAACTAAGGGAGCCTTGGGTTTGAAATAGGCATAAGTATTCAGGTGGTAGGCAGCCTTGAGGCCAGAGGTAAGATTTTGATGAATGAGAGGAAGTGATGGATGGAGGAGGTCTGTTGATAGTAAGGACTATGTCAAGGACTGGGGCAAACAGGGAAGTGAAGTTTGATGCCAATGCTTCAGAAGAGTGTTTCAAGCTGTGATCCTGAGTACTTGACTCAGGTATGATTCCTAACTATTTTGGAGACTTTGAGTAACCACACATATCTGTGCCTCCTGTCCCTTTGGTGTGTTTGGTTGGGAAATTGAAGGCAGGTAAAAAGCCATTTAATATTTTATTTATTTTTTATCACTGTCAATGCTTTATAGAATGAACATCTGAATTTTAGTCATTTCACTTGGCTTCTACTTTGAGTAATAGTTTATTTGAATCATAGCTATTCTAAAATGGTTATTAGGTTATTAATTTCTTTATAATATACGTGTTTAGTAGTTGTAACAGAAAGTTTAAAGCAGCCTTCCTTGTATTAATAATTTTGAATTATTATAGATTAAGAAAAGAAAGAGATGAAGAACGTGTTAAAAAGTTAATACAAGAAGAGGCTGTCAGATTCCTTTGGAACCAGGTAAACTCCTTCCTGCTGATATACCTAGTAGATGTGAACAAAGAAAATTTCTAGATTCATTGAGCTAGTCACAGAACAATCAGGCATATTAATCAGTCTGTCATTTTTTTTTTTTTTTCCTTTTTTCTTTTTTGAAGTGCTGGGGATGGAACCCAGGGCCTCACATATGCTAGGTAATCACTCTACCACTGGGCCACATCCCCAGCCCAGAACTTCCTTTCTCAGGATTATGGCTGTGGTTTATGTTCTTTGCCACTGACTCTGAACTAGGACAGTGGATTTTGCTACATTTTATTTAATCTAAAGAAAAATATTTTCATAATTTTGATAAGAAAGATAAAGTAGTGTAAAGCCCAAGGTTTAATTGAGGGATGTTATTATAATTTCCCAATATATAGTAGAAAACCCAATTTGAAGTTTTGCATTGCTATCTATCTGAAATATTTAAATGAAAGGTGACTAAGATGGTATATGATGGTCAGCAGTGTCCTAAAAAGTACAATGAATGCTTAGGACACAGGATTTGAATCCTGCAGTAGCATACTTCAGGACAGTTTAGGCAATTGGTTTTACTAATACTGTATCACATCAAATACTTTTTTTTTTGCAGTATTGGGGTTTGAATTTAGAGCCTTCACCTTGAGCCACTCCACCAGCACTTTTTTTGTGGTGGGTTTTTTCAAGATAGGGTCTCCTGAACTGTTTGCCTGGGGTTGGCTTTAAACTGTGATCCTCCTGATCTCTGCCTTCTGAGTAGCTAGGATTACAGGTGTGAGCCACCAGTGCCTGGCTACATCGAATACTTCTTGATGATTATTTATTGGAAATATTCTTATAAGATTCAACTTCCAGCTACTTGGGAGACAGAGATTTGGAGGATTGCAGTTCAAGGCCAGCCCGAGCAGAAAATTAGAAATAGCCCATCTCAAGAAAAAAATTGGGTATGGTGGTACATCCCAGCTATGTGGGAGGCATAAGTAGGAAGATGACAATCTGGGCTGGCCCAGGTGAAAAGTGGGAAGCCTTATCTGAAAAATAACTAAATCAAAAAAGGATAGGGAAGTGGCTCAAGTAATAGAGCAACTGCTTAGCTAGTGTGAAGCTCTGAGTTCAAACTCCAGTACTGCCAAAAGAAAAAAAAGATTTGACTATAAAATTATTTTTAAAATTTTGCAGCTTATTTTAATTTTAAGTTTATTTAAATCACTTTGGACTCAACATGTCCTTACGTTTCACCCACTCATCAAACTGCACTGCTATGAGATATCCCAGTCAAATAGCAGTTTCCTTTAAGATTGATCCTTTCTTTTGAGCAGTCTAAGCAATCTTTGCTTCCTTGTCATAGCCTATATGAGGACTAAGAGCTGTCACCAACATTAGAGACTCATTCATTAGCTTGTTGATGCTTTTTGTGTTGGCCTGGAACCCCACCATACAGTTTTCTGTGAAGGAAACTGAAGCATTTCCCAGCAACCTGACTGAGTGTTAAAATTATTGGTTTTTGAGGTTTCGTATTTACCATCAGTAGGGGAATTGTTAAGGAAATTATAAAATAAATATACTATGGAACAGTTGAAAAGAATAAGGTGACAGTATGGACCAATGTGGGAAGAGCTCCAAAGTAACACTGTTTAGGGAATAACAGCAACATACAGAGCTCAGAGTTCCTCTTGGTTTTAAAAAAATACGTAGAAAAAGATCTGGAAGGATACACGTTAAACTTTCATCAGTGACTAGCTTGGAGTATGGTCAATGGGAAATTACAAACTCTATAAATTTTTTTTCCTTGGAATTTTTATACTAAAAATTTGAAACTTTATTTATACCTTAACATATAGAGGTCATATTATCAAGAACTTGGGATATTTTAAGTCATTTTAGAAAGTTGTGTATATTATATTTAAATTTTTATTTTTTTAGTGCCCTTTTAATTTTTTAGTGGTAGGCAGGCATTCTACCACTTGAGCCATGCCTCCAGCCCTATATTTTATATAGTAAATAAAAACTCTTAATCTCTACATGAATATCTCATAAAGAGTCTTATTTTTAGAGGAAATAATGGCTATTGAATAGACATCAGTGTATATTTTGTATATTATTGATCCTTTAGTCAGCTAGACATGTACTGTTTTGCTTCTCACTGTTTTTCCAGTAAAAGCAAGAGAATTGCTTTGGCCTATTTTCACTGTCCTGATGAGTGCTTTTTGTTACTAAGATGTGTACTGCTAGTTCAGACTGGGAGAGCTATGAAGAAGATTAAGGAGAGTAATGAATGAAGATAGTTTTTAGCCCCAGCTCTATCATTGACTAACTTCATAACTTCTGGAAAAGTTTATAGGTATTATTTTTATCTCATAATAAAACTATATCCTTTGGTTTATAGGTAAGGTCTCTGCAAGCTTGGCAACAGACAGTAGACCAGCATCTAATTTCCTGGCATACTGATGTTCCTCCTATATCAAGTACGCTGGCGCCATCTAAACCTCCATTATTCACCCAAAGTCAGGACTCCTCTTCTGATCACAATTCTGATTGGTTCATTGCTCAGGATGATGCTCTTCAAGAAAAGTCCTTACCAGAATTTCCAGATTCTGGTTTTCATTCCTCCCTGACAGAGCAAGTTCACCTTTTGCAGGATTCTTTGGATTCCACAGAAGGCAGTGAAAGTTCCATAATGGGGAATTCCATTGACACAGTCAAATATGGCAAAGAGCCAGACTTAGGGGATGTTAGTGAAGAACGTAGTGACTGGAGCAAGGAAAGCTCAAACAATGAGCAGGATAATAATCTGCTTGAACGATATTTAGCATCAGTTCAGCAGCTAGAAGATGCTGATGAGAGGACACACTTTGATGAAGGGTCAGGAGATAGTAAGCTTCACATAGGTCGTTCCCTGGAAAAGTTAGATGGCTTTTCTGACAGTGCTTCTGTGGGTGAGACTCATGGTGTATCTCCCACTCCCCAAGATGAAATCAGCCAGACACCAGAGAATTGCGACTTAAATGGTGAAGTCCAGGGTCAGCAGCCGGAGCGTGGCTCCACTCTTCAGGTATCAAATGTTGGCGACATTGCATAGCGCGTCGGTTTCACGGGAAGCGGAAATCTACTTTTCTAGAAAATTGTTTCAGTTGCCTCTTTTTCTTCGGTAAGGGGAGCAACCCTTCCCCCTGTTTTGTTTTGTTAAGTTTGTATTCTTGTCTAGTATGTTTCAGATTTTAGATACTGGGCTGTTTTCATTTTTATTTTACTAATTTGTTAGCTGTAATGTATCAAACTATTTATATTCAAAGCTGTATGTACTTTTTTAAATTAAAATTTGCATCAACAATGTTCCTTTTAAAAATACAGTTTCTTAAAGAAAATTTTATCTTAATGATACAAACAGAATTTCAGTTGGTCTGTTCTGAGAAAATTAATTATAATAAGGAATATAAATGTTAAAGTGAATGTAAGTGGCAATTGTGAGCTATTGAAATTTGTAAAAAGTTTAGGTTTTTTTGTTTTTAAAGCCTTTTTTCTCGTAGTCAAGGAAAGCCTTCATGTAAGCAAATTTAGGAAGAAAAAGATTATAAGATAGTTTTTTCTTTTTTCTTGTTTTGGGGCTGGAGCATGCCAAGCATGTGCTATACCATGGAGCTGTCCCCTCGGCCCCTAGATTATAGGATTCTTAGTGGGAATGATTAAATTGTCTCATGGAAAACTTTAATGTCATGGATTAATGTTAATGTAAGTAAAGCGTTTCATCTAGGATTAAAATCAAGCTTACTTAAGAGAGGCAACACAAGATTATTTCTCTTTGATGGGAAGCAAAGAGATGACATACTTGGAATAACACCAAGGCAAACATTTGATCTTTTCATTAAGTGCTTTTTTATCCTACAGATAAGCATATATGTGCCAATATATTGCCAGAAACTAATGTTTGCCCATCTCTTTTCCTTGCTTATATTTCTGTGTGTATTTGAGAAGAAGGTCCAAGGCTATTCACTTTACCTTTTTTTTTTTTTTTCTTGGTCCTGGGGATTGAACCCAGGGCCTTGTACATGCTAGGTAAACACTCTGCCACTGAGCTATATTTCCAGTCCTCACTTCACTTTTGACCTCTGCTTCATAGTGAAGAACATTCGAAATAGTTTTAGTGGTAGAATATGAATGATTTTTAAAAATTTTTCTATCTAATCTCTGAAGAGTGCCACAATTGAAAGACAATTTAATGGTGGTTAAGAGAAAATAAACTGCACTTGTTAAAAAGACTATGTATCTGTAACTTCAAGAAGAAATAAGATTGTATTTGAATGCTATTAGTAGATACATTTGGAGATCAAGTATAATTTTTGGAAGCTTGGTATTTTAATCTTTTAGAATGTTCTGATATCCTTAAGTAACACTTACCTGATTCCCCCAAACTACAGACATATAACTATTTAAAACTATGGCAATACTTAAGTGTTCTTTAAACTTGGGTGCTAAGTATCTATTCATTATTCTGTCACAGTCCATAGATACCCTCCTTTGAAATTATATAAGATAAAATCTTCTGATCCTTTAAGAATAGAGGATCACTTTGTTAATAGAAGCATTTCCCACCATGGTCAGCTGTATTTTTATTTATAAATAAGTAGCACTCAGATTGAGAAGACTTGGATTTCATTTTCAGAAATCTAGAATCCCTTGAAATGAAAATGTTTTCTGTTTCTTGTAAACAAAACTACAGTCTTACCTTCAAAAAGGTTTTCCTCTAGTGAAGCATGTGTAACCCTGAATGCATGTTAAATAAAAATTAGTTTTTACTTTTTGAATAATGCTAATGATCTTTTATGAATGATTTTGAATTTCTTCTTAAATATACCCTATTTTTCTATTTTACAGTTAAGTGCCTCATTTGCTGCCCACAGCTAGACAAAGAAAAACCAGTTTGCACTGCAATAGTACTAAAATACTACTTCATGGTACATTAATTTTTCAGAAAAGCTGCTGAAGTGAATGGTTCAGTATTACCTAAGCAAGTTTCTGCTAACATCTTCTTCCCTTCTCTTTTTTTAAGTAATGGCACAGCCAAATTCACTTGATCATTGACATGTCAGCAGGGTTTTTTGTTTTTGTTTTTTTAAACTTTGGCTTGTTTTTCTAGCTCATAAGTTGTATTCAACATACTTTTATAAGAAATTTGGCAGGATATTACAATTGTTAATATGCTCTTTTCTATTTTATTTTACTAGTGTTTAGAAGTACAAGACCATTAATTGGCCTCTTTCTTAACTATACATAATATCTTGAATGTGGATAGAATGACAATAATATAAATTAAAATGTAGGAAAACTGAGGCATAGAATTAATATGTTTTGTTTGGTTTATAATATAATTTAAAAGTAACTTATGTAACCAAGATATCTGGTTTTTACTCTATAGGTTGTTCATTAGTTTGGCTGAAGAGAGAATGGGTCTGGTAAGGTTTGGGAAGTTGGACTTTGCACATGGGCTTTTGGGGTTTTTTCTAATAGGAGAGGTATTTTTCAGTTGTGCTGTTTTAATTCACATTAGTTCTCTTGATTTATAGTAGGTTTGGTTCATTAATTAGAAATTATTACCATGTAAGAATCATAAGGAACCTTAGAGATGATCTATTCTAATTTCTTTTCTTTAGAACCATCCAAAAGAGGGTTTCTGAGGACTTTTGCTGCAGCCTAAGGAGGTACAGTGCATAGACTGACCTCTACATTATTTTAAAGTTGAAACAAAAGTACAGAGAAGTTAAATGAATTGTCAGGTTATAGCTAGTTAATAGTAAATAAACTGAAAGCATGATGCTGTATTCCTAAAGTTTGTTATACCTTCTCTATTAATTTTATGTTTACATTAATTTTTATATTTAGTGAGTGAGAAAGTCCATGTTTCTAATTCTCTTTGAAAGAGGAACACAAGCTTATGAGAGCTAACTCTACCACTAAAGGCAGAATTGTTTATAGGAAATGATTCTTTTAGGAATCCTGAATAAATGTTCACCAAGAAATGTGACTTTATTAAAATAGTTTTTTAAAAGGCAATAGTAGAGGCTGGGTGTAGTGGCTCACATCTGTAATCCCAGTTACTTGGGAGGATTGTTTCAAGGCCAGCCCTAGCAGAAAGTTAGCTAGACAAACACTTCTTCCCCCAATTTAACCACCAAGCAGGACATTGTGGTACGTGCTTGTAATCCCAGCTATAAGGGAGTCATAGGTAGGAATGTCACAGTCTAAGACTGGCCCCTGCCAAAAATGTGAAACCCTATTTGAAAAATAATTGAGGCAAAAGGGTTGGGGGTGTAGCTCAAGTGGTAGAATACCTGCCTAGCAAGTGCAAGGATCAGAGTTCAAACTCCAGTATTGCCAAATAAATAAATAAAAATTAAAGAACAATAGTAAAATTGAAATTTTTAAAAGAATAAGTGCATCTTAGTCATTTATTTGATGACAGGCAGTATTACAGGTTATTGAGATACATAAATTTTTCTCATAAAATGCTGAGTTTGATTATATTTTATCTTCAGTTTTATATAGAACGACATTAAAAGTTTTAATTGCTTAAATAATGTGGGTGCCATTCTTGAGTTTTTGTTTTTCCTTTATTTGTTTTAGATTATTTTAATAGTATATTTCCTGGTTTCTGGAGAACTAAGACAATATGAAGGGAAAACATAGAATGAGTGTGATCAATTTCCCATTAATAAAGAAAAAAAGAGATTTCATTACTTAATATATATTATTTTGCCACACCCCTTATTTAAGGTATTTATTGTATTATAATATCTTAAGATTTAAATACATGCTACCCTCATTCATGAAGTAAAGCAGAAAGATTATTTAAAAAACATTCTAAACTTTTTGCAATAGGGTTTTACTACTTGACTAGGCTGGCCTTGAACTTGGCTCGAGTGATCTTCCTGCCTCAGCCTCCAAAATAGTTGGGATTACAGGCATCTAAACATTTTTAGTGGTATTACTTTCATTGATTAAGTTCATTGGTCCATATTGAAATTAAAAGTCAAGTGAAGGACTGGAGGTGTGGCTCAAGCAGTAGAGTGCCTGCTTTGCAAGAACGAAGCCCTGAGTTCAAACCCCATTACCCCCAAAAAGTCAAGTAAGGGGCGGAGGTGTGACTCAGATGGTAGAAGTCCTGCCCAATAAGCATGAGGCCCTGAGTTTAAACCTCAGTACCACTAAAAAATAAAATTAAATTAAATTAAACCTCATGCAAACAAAGCATTCCTCACAGCCTTGGAGAAAAAAAAATTATTGTCTTTTTAAAAAAATTTTTTTAGTGGGACTGGGTTTTTTAACTCAGGGCTTTGCACTTGCAAAGTAGGCATTCTACCACTTGAGCCATACCTCAGTTCATTTTGCTCTGGTTATTTGGGAGATGGGGGGTCTCATGAACTGTTTGCCTGGGCTTGCCTTGAACCATGATCCTCCCAATCTCAGCCTCCCAGGTTGCTAGGATTATAGGCATGAGCCACCAGTGCCTGGCTGATAATTGTGTTTTTTAAAAATGAACTGCATATTCATATCTATGAATGAATACAAATCATTCTAAATTTTAATTCCTGTATTGATTTTAGTGGATAGAAAGAATCACTCTATAGAGTGGCTTTCTAATAAGTTCTTTTTTTTTTCCTTCTTTCTTTTTTTGGGTGCTAGAGATCTAACCCATGGCCTTGTGCATGCTTGATAAGCACTCTACTGCTGAGCTACACCCCAGCCCCATGTTTTACAATACTTTCATGTTGGCAATAAGAGTTTAAAAATAATTTGATTTTGTACTATTTTTAGATCTTACTTTAATTGTATTGTAGAATTGTGGGTGATTTAAAGTGGTTATACTCTTTTATGAAGGACTAATATTTTCCATTGTACTTTTTAATTTATATTTGAGTCTCTAATTTTAAATAAAAGGTCTATACGTTTGAATGCTTCATCTGTTTATTTCAGTGATCAATAATAATGGTTGTTATACATTGTACTTGCAGTTAATGAGTAAATAAAGTTCAGAAGAGATTGCAGATAGAACTCTACTTTGGAAGGTATGGAGTGTTGTCATTATATAAGTGAATTTGCAACAAAACAGTCCTAGCCTTATGAAAATGGATTTGAAAGGAAAGAAGTGCTTAGTTTTATTCAGTGTAGATTTCACTGCCTCCAGAATACTCATGGAGTTCTCTGGGTGAGTACATTCTCAGAGAGTACAGATGTACTGTCAGGTGATAGGAAGACAGTGTTAGCCAGAAGTGTTAAGGGTGAATAAATGAGTAGAAATTCTTTCATTCGACACAATTAGGGT